CTCCGCAGACCCCCAGGGTTCTGCGGAGCACCAATTGGGAAACACTGCTCTAGGGCTATAAACACATTTGTAACAGGTTCATAGACAATACTCTGAACTTCAGATAGAAAAATGATACATGCGTACAAATGATAATCCTATTCAGTAAATCTAATCTTTCCAATGAAATGTCACAAGACCCATTTTGCATAAAATACATCTTGATTATGCCATAATCATGTTTCTGTAAAGTATATAGGGTGTAATGTCATAATGGGGACCACTCCAAATCTGCCCACATCAAAGGCTCTGGTTTTGCTCCACAATCAGCCATTTTGGCAAAAATCCATTTTTGCAAAAAATGTTCAAAAAGCTGTAGCTTTGTCTTACTGGAGAACGCAAGATTTCTAAACCTCTGAAGTTGCCATGAATGGATTTTTTTTTCCAGTACCACCTAATGACAACATCAGGTAATTGGAAAATCCACAAAATATCTTCTACTTCCGGAGAGAATCCCAGAAATTAAACAACTTCTTTTGCCAACTACTACATAATTTCTCTTCTGAATATTACTGGGCATATGTTATTTTCTCTTGCCTTGGGCAATCCCAAGGTAGAACTTGGCTTTCACAAAGTTAGCTGCACCTTTCATAGCTACTGGTCCTTACTGCACCTTCTAATGAGAGCATTTCACTTTTCAGAAATCTCCTGTACTTCATTCCATTGCCTCTGTTTTCTTGAGCTGTCTGACATTGACTGCTATTTATTGTATGGAGACTACTCTTAACAGTTTGGACAGTTATGATAGAGTTCTTTGTTCACACACACAACTTTTCTATGGCTGTTTTAACAAACAAAACAGAGTGAGTCAACCCCATGTCAGATTTTAACATAGCACCCACACAGAGTGCATAAAATCCTTTAAGACAATGCTATATATGGAAATAGATGGAAAAACTGAAGATAATTTTATTTGGTCCTATTCCGTTCAAAAGATGAAAAGAATCACCATGGCAAAACATTTCTGGAGAATCATGCTAATATAGAGTGGGAGGATCTTGAGGCTAGTTTCTACTGATCTCCTGATTTCAGTCCAAGAATAAATAGTCCCAGAAACCAGCCGACCCTTTCACTACATCTCTGGCAAGACTCCGATATAGGCTAGCATATGACCAAGAGCCACAATGAGGGACAAAAAATATTATTTATGCAGGAAATTTACAATGCTGTGGGATTCCTTGTTTCTGAATGTATTTATTTTCTAGCGCAAATCTATTAGCATTAGTATTACGCGGAGTTTTTTAAAAATTTAAAACAGCCTAGTCAGATTCCACTATGGTGCTGTGACGTGAGAAAACATAACTCTGAGCGAGCCCTCATTGTATTATTTCTTATGCTGTTTTTGTGCAGATCTTAGAAACATATGCATACTGCAAGGGGCAAATGCCAGAACTTTTTGTAGTACTACCTTTAATTCATTCAATAACCTCCTCTGACTTGAGAGATGAAAGATCAATCCTATATTTGAAAACGATGAGGGGGTGTTAATAATACTTGATGCTGAACTGTGACTTCCTTCTTTCCAGCGTGTTCCATGGGAAACAGTACAAGCCGGTTATATAGTGCTCTTGCTAAGTCACTGAACAGCAATGCTGCCTCCCAGCATCAGGAGTACTTGGAACAGCCTGATTCGGAACAGCTGGATCCCATAGATCCTAAAGATCTGCTTCAAGAATGCCAGGCAGTTCTTCAAAAACGCCCTCCCCGATTCCAGAGAGACTTTGTGGAGCTGAAGACAGATTCTACCAGCAGCCATCATCCGATTAGAGTCATGCAGTGGAACATTCTTGCGCAAGGTATGAACCTCGTATAAATCTCCAATGAGAGGCAGTCCCCTTGGAACTAGATAGTTGGAAATTAATTGTGTGTGTTTTTTTAAATGTAGAAATAGCATTTTAAATAAAGTACAAATATCTGGGAGTGGGAGGTTTAAAGTAGAAACGTGTAATTCAGAAGGAAGAGCAAAAATAAAAAGCTTCTGGATCTGTCTTCATGGAACCTCCCATGCGCAACAGTCACACAAAGGTTTCCTTTTCTTGTACTCCTAAAACTGAAATTGTCTCCATATCTTTGTGAAAACAAGACATGTCCCATTAGGTTGAGAAGTACCCCACTATTGGATCCTTAGTGACCTCCCCAAAAAGTTAGACTTGCCCCTTCTAATCCTTCTTCTGAAGTTGAATTAACATATTCAGATCATCCTGTGGCAACGTAGTCACAAAAACAACTGGTTAAATGTGGCGTTCAGTTCCAGAAAGTTTTTACTTGTCTTTGTTATTACTACTTGGAAAAGCAAATTTGAAGTGGAGTAATTGATTGGAATAATTGCAAGTGTTTATAGTGGTATTTTCCACATTGTGCGCTCAGTGTTGAGAGTTGAACTTCCCTTAATACACCGACCTCATCTCCCCTTCATGCTGCATTTTTTTTTTTTTTTACTTTTGATAATATTCTTAGTTTCAATATGTTTTGTCAGGAAGCTCTACGTAGAGTCCTTTCTGCCTTTGAACAGCTTTCAGATGCTAGAGTTCTTCCAATAGCATGGAAGGGACCTAAAAAATATTCTGAGAAGATTTAACAGCCCTGTGCACTAATCTAGTTTAAAGTGACTCAATTTTGGGGGGGTACCCTGTCTGACACTTCCTTACAGGAGCCTCTCTGTGTGGGAAAAGTGAGGGTTGTTTTTATTTTTCTTACTAGACTTTTGAAAATCATGCCCATCTAAGGCATCTCTGATTTGGCATCCAGAATCACTAGTCACTCCTGAAAATTGTGGACATATCCTTCAAATCCATTTGGGATTTGATCCAGATTTTGAGTAGAAATCTGCAAACTATACTTACCCATAGCTGGCACTATGTTTATAAGGCTGTTCCTTATTTTCACGGGCCCACACAATTTAAGTTAGGGAGGGGGATGTTTTATTTTGGCTATTAATAGGTACTGACGGATTTTTCATTCCAGCTCTTGGAGAAGGCAAGGATAGCTTCATTCAGTGTCCCATGGAAGCTCTCAAGTGGGAAGAAAGGAAATGCCTCATTCTGGAAGAAATCCTTGCATACCAACCAGACATTTTGTGCTTGCAAGAAGTGGACCACTATTTTGACACCTTTCAACCACTCCTTAGCCGGCTAGGCTACCAGTGTACTTTCTTCCCTAAGCCATGGTCCCCCTGCTTAGATGTGGAACATAATAATGGGCCAGATGGCTGTGCCTTGTTTTTTCTCAAGGACCGCTTTACATTGGTCAAAAGTGTTAATATCCGCTTAACTGCAATGAAGCTAAAAACCAACCAAGTGGCCATAGCTCAGACACTGAGATGCAGTGAAACTGGGAAGCTGTTCTGTATTGCAGTCACTCATCTGAAAGCCCGTACTGGTTGGGAGAGATTTCGATCAGCACAAGGCTGCGATCTTCTACAGAACCTAAAAAATATTACTCAAGGAGCAGAGATCCCTCTAATAATCTGTGGAGACTTCAATGCAGAGCCCACTGAAGAAGTTTACAAGGAATTCTCTAATTCCAGTCTCAACCTGAACAGCGCTTACAAGCTGCTGAGTACAGATGGGCAGTCAGAGCCTCCTTACACTACATGGAAGATCCGGCCCTCTGGAGAGTGCAGGCACACACTGGATTATATCTGGTATTCCCAGCATGCCTTAAATGTTAACTCTGCGCTTGGCTTGCTGACTGAAGAACAAATTGGACCTAACAGGCTGCCATCCTTCAATTACCCTTCAGACCACCTGTCTTTGGTGTGTGACTTCAGTTTTAATCAAGACCCTGATAGGCTTTTATAACTGGTTTGAACTCCATATGGTATTGCAGTGACTTAACTCATCATTTTTAAAGAAACTTTTGATGAGGTTAGAATTTAAAGATGGGGGATATGGATGACGATGTATTTGCAGGCATATACTTGGAAATAATTTTGCCATTCAAACCTTATAATTTGAAACCTCCAAAGGAGGAAAAAGGAGTTGACTGCCAGTTTTTTAGTTGTGATGGTTTTGTTCACTGTGGGCTTTCCCACATTTTAGTTTGACAGTTAAAGGGGAAACTGCATTCTTTCTCCTGTGAACAAACAAAATTAGCATGCTGTCAGGGCAAGTTGTTTTTATGTTTCCATTGTGTGT